ACTTTACTGTGGTTTCTCATATGTCTAATCTGATTCCGAAAAAGGAAATTGAAGCTGCTAGCTGGATGTTTTTCCAGCACATCACTCCTTTGCTACAATGATCTACAATAGGACAGGGACTGATAAGGAAAATTAGTGGGTATGTTGATGCTGATTTCTCCTGGAACATCTCCAGATTGTTAGCGAGGTAAAGGAAAAAGGAACTAGCCATCTCCCCACAAATCTCTCAGAACACGTCTTCAAAACAATCTGCCAAAAGCAGGTGTGAGTTCTGATCTGCTTCCAAGTGAAAAAATCGAGTGGGAGAAGAGGAAATCTGATTTTTCTTCATTTGTCCTGATTTTAAATGAAACAAATCACAACTGCTACTGTAATTTATTTTCACCTGAACAAGGTAAAAATTCAATATACAACAGTGAACTAATTATACATAAAATTATGCCAAATATGCATTATGTCCCAAACATACATATTCCTCACTACATTCATGCTAAATATTATTTATATCTAAACAGCAAATTAAAAAAAAAACCCTCTATGTCCAATATAAATTCTATATAAACTCTAAAGTCTTATATAAACAGAGAAGTTCTTCATTAAATATTCTGCTTACATAGTGACAGTTATGAATGCAACTCACACAATCCACATTTAATTCTAATTGCCTAAACTGATGATACTTGTTGGCAAAATAGAACAACAAATCACATCCTTTTGCCATTCACTGATATTCATTAAGCAATGACACCTCATTTATTTAGAATTATGTCATGATTTTAAACACTGCATCTAATTAGATACAAATAAATACATAACTCACAAAACAACAGGTTGTTAAGTAAAATAATTTAAGGCCCTGTTCTTGGTAATGAAGAAAATATTTTTAATTAACAAATAGAAGTAACGTATATTATGCCTGACAATTCATCTTACAGGTGCAAAAGTAATTTGAAAGGTTGCTGTGCCAGTACTATTTCTACTAATGAATGTCAAAGGTCACAAAATGAGAAGTGGTACTTCTTAAAGAGGAACAAGCAGAGGAAATATATTACCATCTATAATGCCAAGTCATTTCATTTCTTAATTTTAATTTTAGAGTAGGGGATACTTCATGCCTACCAACCAAATTTCATGTGCAGAACCTAATGTATAAAATATGCTATTCATGGGAACAGAACAATGCATATGTCCTTATGGATTTTCATAATGGTAACAAAATGCACTGATATTTATAAATATGATACTTTTATAAGATGCTAGCTAAAATACAAGCCAATTCACAGAAAGAATGAAATCACATTTTTTCCCCTTAAATAAGGGGATGGCTTTTAACATATGATAACTGCCCATATTTAATTTCACAGAAAGGATCGAGGGAAATCGTATTAAGGCATTATCTGGGACTGAAAAGCTATAATGCCATGAAACTGCCAATTCTTCATATTTTATTTCAAATGTGTTATCTTACCCCTGATTTTGATGAAGATAATCCATGGAATGCCACCCATTATGTAATTATCCCTAACTGATAGGTGCTGAGCTAATCATACACATATTCCAAATTATAACTGGACTTGTAACAGCTAGAGTTCAAAGGAGTTTAATAAACAAGAGGAATGCCTTGAGATGGGTGTGCTTGAGTGTACGAAGACATAGACAAACACAAATAGCTACATTCTGACTTGGTTATAGGAGATATTCCCCACCCCCCACCCCCTTAATAGCAGCCACCTTCCTTACATATTCTGGGTAAAGCACTATGTTCTAGGCAGTATCAAATTCCCACCATAGCAGTCTAACAAAACAGAAGGGGCTGCTGCTGAAAAGAATATTGTCCTTCTATACACATGCACCTGTGTCCTGAATAAATTATGTTTTTTTAAAAAAAATTAAAATTAAAAAATTAAAATTAAAATACGCAAGATTTGAACTATTTCCCATCTTTGGGACTACTGACTACTGACATCTGCATGTTCTACTTCTTCACCTCCCCTCAAAAATAGTTTGCATAAAATAATTCTAATAAAATTAAACATGATTTCAGTCCAATTCCATTTCTTGGAATGTTATTGAGCTTTATTTCCTGTATAAAGTGAACTTGCTGATTCCAGAAGGAAGGCACAACAATAATAATATAATCCAGAATTATCTAACATATGAAGTAGAGACAACAAATCTGAACCCAATTCATTTATGAGAACAAGGTTAATGAATAATCTAAAGTCTGAAACACTGTTCAGAAAGCTACTTAATTTTAGTCCAGTTCTTTTTCCCTGGGTCAGGCATGCTTGATAATGGCAAATAATGAACATGTTCATTGAAAAAATTGGAAATCCATATACAGATTCTATATTAATAAAAAAAATTGATGTTTGTCAACTATAAATGAATGATGTGGACTAAGATATTAATTTTTCTCAATAAATCCTAAATATTGGATGGAAACTGCTCCAGTGGTATTACAACTGTGTATTTGATAAAAGGAAAGTCTTATAACTGAAATTATAGGAAGGTAATCTATTTTACACAAAGTTGTTATGTGAATTATTCAGAGAGTTTGACAATCAGTTTCCGATCACTCTTATCAATGGACATTACTCACGTGAATATAGAACTATCACACGAATGTAGAAAATGGTTAGTAAGTACAAAGTTCATACTTTTGAACATTTTTACAGAAAGTTTAAGTGCAAGTAATTCAGACTTTTATTATTTAAGCAGAAATCAGGGTGCAAAATCTTTAAACGTATATGCAGTTAAAGTTCTTTTGTGACCACCTTCAAGTTTTCTTTTTTTGTTTTTCTGTTTTGCCTATTCTAAGACTAATGAGTGACATTCCTTTTTCCATTTTTAAACTTCTCTTTATGAAGTTTTGTAATGCATATCAATGCAGCATGCAAATCTTATTAAAACTGATGTTTATTTAATGGTATTCATTTTTATGTGTGTGTGTATATGTGTGTGGGTGTGTGTGTGTATGTGGGTGTGTATACATAAAACATGTACACATTTTATCCATATACATATTTCCAAAAACTGTATGTACTTCAAAAGCCAAAATCAAACAGTATATGGTTAGTAAATTTTATACACTAAAAAAGCTGATGCAACTGTTGGATGTCAAGAGAATTCAAAATGTTGACGGTAATGAAATATATTTGATACTTCATATCTTGCAATGCAAAAGAAAAAAATCCTAATTAAATAGCCAAAATAAATAAATAAAAATAAAGCACGAGAGCCGAACGGACCTTTCAAAAAGTGGTTAATTTCTTAACTAAATGAAAACATTAATTTTCCATGGAAACTGGCTGTTCTACCAATATCAAATGGCAAAGGATTAAACCATGGCCCTTTGGGGAGATACAACACTATGGATTAGTTTTGTTAAAAGTTGTGCCATGCCCTCCACCTCATAAAGAAATACATAAAGAAATCAGCACATCCCTAATTTAAACTCAGGTTGTCAGCAGGTGGCAGCACTTGGCTGGCCTTGTCTAGAGTCAGAAGCTTAGTAGAGTCAGGCCTAGCACGCACTTCAAGGGGAGACCTCCATGGAGTACCAGCGCATGACCTGTGCCGGGAAGGAAAGCATGCTGGAAAGTATGCCAGAAGCAGGCAGTGGCAAAGCACTTCCATATTGCTGCCAACAGAACTGCATGGTTGTGTCTATGTGGTCACCAGCAACTGAGGTCAACTTGAGAAAGTCTTGACTTTTTCTTACAGTAAATAGCAGCATGTTATACGCACTCCCTTATTCCCCCTCATTCTTTTCTTCTGTTAGATCCAAAGGCAGGAGAAAGGAAATGGGCATGACTTTCTGATAAGGGGGAGTGAAATAAATTCATCACAAACAGTTCCAGATGTTAAGGCTACTTGTTTAAATGTAAAACCAACTTGCAAGCCAATGTTACAAACATTTACCATCAACACCTATTGGTAGCCGCAACTTCCATCATGACCCTTACCTTGGTAAGGCCTAACTTCACTTACTCCCTGCGCTATTTGAAACAGAGAATGCTTTAAGAAGTAAAAAAGTTTAGAGAGCATTCACTGGCATACCTAATAAAGTTACATATCTTCCGAATATAACTGTTTGAGAGCTTAACTCAACACATCAGAAAAGGAAGGTTTTCTCCAGAACACCTTAAAACTTCTACTTTATGCCAATTACATGCAGTAGCTTTCAGCATCAAACCCTTTTGATTGTTTTAAAAATAGTTAGGAACATGTTAGTAGCAAGCCCAAACAATGTTTGCTGAAAGAGCCCATCTATGGAAAGCACCACTATCTTTTTTTTTTTTTTTAAACGGCATTATTCCCTTTGTAAAAAAGATTTTCTGAATTAGAATGTTGAAAAGCCTTCCACAAAGTAGCTCTGATTTATAACTTAGGCAAGTAACAATTTGATCCATTGCAAATAAATTTTTTGAGGATACCAAGCCTCTAACTTAAACTACAGATGTTTAAACAGAGGTATGAAGTTGCTAATGTACTCACAGTCTTCGCAATAGGATGTTCTCCTAGCTATTGTGCTGCACTTTCATGCCTTTCTCTATGTTGGGCAATTATGTTCTCTCCTAAGTCAACTGTAAAATGTCTCTAATATTATGCCAGTCAAACCTGTTAGCCATCCTTTGCCCTTTAAAATTACAGGTTCTAGCTGTTAGTACAGAAAACACCAGGTCCTGTAGAATCATTAAATCCCATCTGTTCAGCATAAAAAGCTGTGTAGCTTTCATCTCTGCTCTTTAGGACCATAAGAACCCAAATCTTCTTTTATGGTTTAATTAACAATAACCTGAAATCAGTAACAAATTTATGTTGGCTGGCTGCGCACTTTAGCCAAAAGGCACAGGGGGGGGGGGGAGGCAACCCAGAGACAAAACAAAAAAATAAAAGCACTGCAACGCATGCACACACAAACATGCATGGGTGTGCGTGTGTGTGCACGTGCACATGCACACGCACATCCAGAGACAAGCAGAAAGTCAACTCACAGAATCTCCAGGTCACGCAGGGCTCGGAACGCTCCATCTTCGATGCAGCTGATCTGATTGTTGTCCAGTTGCCTGCAGGAAGGAAGGAAGGGAAAGGATGAAGAAGGCTCGCCTGGTAGCCACGCTGCCTTGGAGCACCATGTCCTCAGCTTTCCTGTCACCAAGGTGTCCCTCCACCCCTCTGCAGTCGTTGCTTGTCACCAGGCGAAAGCTTGCTGGTAGCCTGCCACGCAGCTCTGTCTCTTCTCACTGACTCTCTAACAGAGCTGCATACTACACAGCACACTGAAGCCTGTCAGGTCTCAGTAAATATTAATTGTGCTTTTCCCCCCCTCTAAGGCAGAAGGGAATAATTTCATTACATTAGGGCATCCAATCCATTATGAGCTTTTACCGTCATGTCACTGAAACAATTTCATTAAGCTAAAGGCCTGTAAATCATTGGAGGTCACCGTGCTGCCCCCCCATGACCTCCCAGAATGCTGCTTTTCTCCTTTTACTGGAAGTTGTAGTTCCCCATCCTAAGAGTACTAAATCTCAAGCCTTTATCTGCCCAGGAGGTTCCAGGGTGCACAGGGAATATACCCATTCCAAATTAGCCTCGGCTAATCTAATTGTATGGTCTTTTTATTATTCCAAGCATCAAATGTCTGTGGTGGTTCGATGGCTTGCATTGTTGCTGGCCCCATCTGGAAGGCCTCACTATTGACACATTTCTGACCAGCACAAGCAGGAGAGATCTAATCATCAAATCAAATGTCAAAGTATACACACTTGGAGCTAATCAGTTACTTTGGGCATAACGGAGTAGGCCTGTCCAAATACAAGTACGGCCAAATAACAGAAGACAGGCGAGCACTCAAATCACTTGTTTCAGAATCAGACCAGGTATTTTGGAAAAGCTATTGTACACAAAAGAAAGCAGCGGTTGGGCCTAGATTTAGACCATGCACAGCCATTTCTGATCAGAAATTTTCATTGTCCCTTGCAGAATTATTCATATTTATACTGACCTTTCATACATTGCTTCAGGATATATTTAACTGAAACAAAATCATCTTATTGAGAAATATATTTTTAAAACACTGCATTTTATTTCTATAGCTATTTTAATTCTTTAATTTGCTTATGCATATTTTGTCATCTGATTTGTGGAGTCAAAACCTGATATCCCCCCCAGGAAAAAAAAATAACTGGGAATACACTCTTCAGGTACTACTGAAGTTAAAACGGCTTAATATGCCATTTTTATAACCAGACACGCAATAAAACGTTGCAGCATGGAGTCTGCCTGCTCAGGATTCTGCAAAGCATGCAATTTCTCCATGCATAGTTTTGCTGGTTTCTGCATGGATGCTGTCATTTTGGCTATAGAAGAATCAGTGCATGTAGAAATGACTTAGTAAATATGACTACAGTGCCATTGGAATACTTTGAATACAATGGAGTCAAGAAGTTTGCTATGACTATGAAACAAACATAAAATAGATCTTATTACCAAAATTAACTATTTGATATAAATTTTTCATAAACTAAACTAGATTAGAGATGATACAGCCTAAAAAATCCAAAGTAGGTTCCTGAACAGTTTTAAGCTTTATATCAGAATACACTGAGTTTGCAAAATAATAGAATATGCTTAAACTTCATTCAAATCAGATCAACATACCTTTCTAGAATTTACAGGTGCAACTGGGGGGTCTTTGGTTTTAAGTTAGACAAAAACACTGAAGAAACCCCAAAACTGACTTTTTATACATCCTTTGGAATTCTGACAAAGTCAAACCATTGTGGAAGGAAGTTCTGAACAATATGGGGGGGGGGGAGGTAGTTATAGGGATAAGTTCAGTGCCTTTATTCAGCTTTTAAAGATGCCGAAACTTCATTGTTGGTAGTAGAATTGCTAACACGTCTTTCAGTCCCTGGTCAAATCTTTATTTCCGTTTCTTTTTTCTACCCTTGGTGGTTCAGTTTTTTGGGAATACAGGATCACTACTTAAATGAATATAATATGGCTCAGAGATGGTCTGTTAATTAAATATCCTTCCGTAGCCAGTAAATCCTGATTTTTAAGTTACATTTGCAATGCAGTTTTAATCTTGCCATCGCTTGAGGCCCCCTATTCACCATGCACTGCAGTTTGCTGGTAGCTCTTCTCAACCTAGTGGAGCTAAACACTTAACAACTCATGACTGATTTCACAACCCTTCTCCTACAATAACCCCAATTTAGTAATATACTTGGGAGAGTATGAGGGCTTGTGAAATAAAAGCAAAACCTTGGCACTTTAGTGCCACTTACACGTGAGCTGCTTTTGTTTTCTGTGCTGTTTTTGTTGTTTTCCTGATAAGCAATTGCTGCTTAGTGCCCATACATTTAATAATACAACATTCTTTATATTTACAATATGATCATCAGTATTGTAAATTACAAGTATAGTGCTTCAAATAGTGTTGCACATGTTATTTTGCTACTTTATGCGTTCGCACTGTGCTACTTTGTGGGAATGCAATTTTTAAAATAATAAGCTAATTCACACTTCCATAGCTTAACAGTCATAGAAAGAAAATGAAGCACCAACAGAAACAAACAAATACATCTTGCAAACTATGCCTATCATCAAATGAGAAGAAATGGATTTACGACCTTAAAATTTCACAAGTATCTTCCTGGTCACTTCCCCTCCCTGCCTCTCTGAAGACAAATGTCGCAGATCTGGTTCTACGGCATTACTTTCCCTTCAGTGCAAATTAACAATAATACCACTAGACTGGAATATACGTAATACAGTTACACAAGAAAAACCTACACAGCCACAAAAGAAACCTGGAAAAAAAAAAGAGAGAGAAATAACATCAGGAGAATAGATTAAGAAGTATAGCAGGTGCCATGCAAGTAAGCAAATCGTTGCAACGAAGAGGGGAAAATCTAGTTCAGATTCCTCCTACAGTGTCCACATGTATGAATGTACAGTAACATACCCAGATACATGCAGATACTGTACCTGCCATGCCACCCATCCACAACAAATACATCCAGGAAATTATTTTTGAAGATAGACAAAATGCTCACATTAATGTACTCTTTCAAAAATCTGTATCAAAGGAAAAAAAGATATAGGAAGTATGATTTTGTAAGAACAGAAAATAGTAGTGTTGGAGCATATATAACTGACAACAGTATTATTCTTAATCCTTGGAAACAGAGCTTTTTAATTTAGAGTTAACAAGTGAATCTTATCTTTAGAAGGTGAAGGGAAAATTGGAAGAAATGGATAGGCCTCAATTTTTTTCTCAGTATAAATACATACATACATACAAACTCTGAAGACTAAACGGCTACAAGGTGACCTTGACTTTTGACTTAACATATATATTTAACTGACCCTATATGAAAACAAAAGTTCAACCACCCAGCCCAACTTATTTATGGACACAGCCTGTGCTGGAGGATCAATATACAGTATTGTCCTAGGAGAATGCTTAACAAAATTTAAGGCATGGGACTTCAGAAATAGTGTACTTAAAACAAAAACCTACACATACATCATCTGTCTTAGGGTCAGTTAAAAAGAAAAAAGAAAGCATGGACTGTATGATGCCATACAGATTTCTTTGAGTGTTCACTTTTGAATGAAGCACATGTAGGGTCTTTATGTTATTTTGAAATCATCTCTGAAACTGTCCTTTCTTGTGATGATGGAAGAGTCAAAGAATTGTGTCAATTTATTTTGTAGTATATGTGAAGGCCCAGAAAATTTTATCTTTTTTTCTTGAAGCATAGTAGAGTTCTTGGCACTTTGTTTTCCCACTGGTAGGAATGCTTGCCTCAACATTCTTTAATATCCCTTTGCTTCACTTCCTGAAGCCTCAAGCATTGCTCTCTAGATGTTGAGATCAGTGGCCATAAAAACAATCCACTTTATGAGAGACTAGGGAGTGGAAATTGTGGTCCCCTTTAACTGTCATGAACATCAGCCCTAAAAATGGAGAGGTATGGTCCAAATTTCAGGTAGGCCTACAGACAAGCTGATCCAGTCAGAAGGTACAAAAGGTAGGTAAGAGGGCTAGGGGACTCAGAAGGCTGGAAGGAAATGGAATCACTATGGACATTTTCTCCTAGCTATCTGTACAGATCACCAAATGGAAGGGTGATATGAAAGAGAGAGATTGGAATTATATGAAAATATGGTTGGGGTGAGAGAGGGGTGAAGACGGGGAATGTTTTTAGGCTAAACATTATTTTCCTTTCCGACTTCCTCCTCCCAGAAAGCATTCCCATTTTCTCTTTGCCATGCAGGGGAAAAGTGAAAAGGGCAGATTCTCAAGGGCAGGAAACTCAGCTCAGTGTTCAGCTCTTTTTCAACACAGAGGCACAAACAACAGAGGGAAAGCATTTCCTGCATGTCCTGCTTCTAAACAGATCACCATAGACAGATTACTTTTTTCATCCAGTTCTTTTTAGCCATTCTTCATAATAGCAGCCTGACACTATGAAAAAGAAAATGCTGGACTGAATGGATCCTTAGTCTGATATAGCTGATATATTTTAACATTCTTCAGTGACAGTTGGCCTGAAGCTGAATCACAAACTGCTGGAGATGTTCTTGAGTTTTTCTCCTTTGCTCTACTTTCTTTTGTTCTCATTGACTTACCCAGGATTCATCATCCTGGAGTAGTTAAACAGTTTATCTGACCAAATAATAGGTTCCAAAGTATAGAAAGCCAGCATAAGGGGCACAAGATTGGGACAGAAGGGGGGGAAAGGAAATTCTTTCAAATCCATTTCTTTTGTTTCCTATTTTCCTTTCCAGTGCAGAACATTGGTAAAGGGTAGAAAAGAAAATCAAGTGACAGAGACAATTAGAGTTGGATAGAAAGAGGAAAAGCTGTTCTCTAGTGGTAAAATATCTGCTTTCCAGAAAGATGATGTTGGAGTCCCTGGTTTCTTGAGGTACGGGTGAGAAACTGGATAGCTGACACCAGTCAGTGGAGATAATACCAAGCTGGATGGGCCCATGTTCTGCCTACAACCCCCATGTTTTAGCAGGGAAACGATGACATCCCATTTTA